AGAAGATGGGCAGTAAAAATCCTGGAGTTGTCCAGGAGCTGAGGGGAAAACTGGAAAAGGTCAAACATGGAGAGTGTCTCAGAGGAGGGAGTGCTGCTAACGCCAGCGGGGCAGAGGCCCAGGCACGAAGGTTGGGAAAAGGCCAGGATGCCGATGGCCTTACTGGGATGTGATTCTCAGTCCAGCCAAATGGCTGACTGCAGTAGAGAGAGGAGTGACTGGGAGATAGAAAATATGGTGAACAGTTAGGGTTGGTGAGTCTTTCAAGAAGTTTGGTAGTGAAAGAAAGGGGTGAAAGCCAATAGCTTGATGGGAAGCAGTTTATAGACTTGAGAGATGTGATTTGTTAGCAGGCAGAGAAGACTCAGCCATGGAAAGACGGTACTAAGGAATTGAGAGAATTGAGTCAGTTGACAAAGTAGCATTTGGTAAGGAACTGGGTGGCAGTGGGCCCGAGTACCAGGTAAGGAGAGCCTCAGAAAAGACAAGGAATGCATCCTCAGAGACACGGAGGAAAGAAGCCCTATGAGTGGAGGTAATTCTGTTTATAGGTGGGAAGATTGGGAAGTCCATGCTTGCTGGCCTCAGGAATCTGGGCACTTCGGCCTTTTCTGGTAGTGGAGCAGCTGTGACCTGCAAGGTGCAGTGGTGGAGGTGTGTGTGATGGTGAACAGTGGCGGAAGAGAGTCCCTAGAATGAAAACTCTCCACATTTCAGCAGATTAAGGATAACTCCTCTTCATGAGTAGTAAATACTAGCTGCCAGGAGGCTTTTCAGTTCTGTTTATGAAAGTATTCTTTGAAGTCCCTACCCTGTGGTAGGTCCTAGAAATTCAAAGATGTTTAAGAAGTTCCTGCCTTTGGGGAGCTCTTCTTCTTCACCAGGTGGCTGGGTGGCGTTTGGTGAGCTTCTTATATCTGCAGCATCATCCGCTCTGTGGGTTAATGTGGCATATTTTTACTCTTCAACTCACGTTCCTCTGATAGTGGGTAAGAGCTGAGATAATGCAGCCTTGTTTTAATATAAGCATTTAAAAATCTAATCTGGGAAGTAATTAAATTCCAGACTTACATTTTTAAAAAGAGAATCTTTTATTACTCAAGAGAATCCTTTAGTACTCAATCTTTTAGTACTCAATAGTATGTAGGCATGTTATCATTGTAATAGTGCAGAGTGTGGACTGAAAGTTAAAGTCTCTCCTATCCCCACCTCCCTCCGTGAGCTCATGGCTTTGTGTGCCCCATACTGCTCACCTTTAAAAAATGCATTAACTCCTATATGTGTCCGCACTCAGATCTATAGTTGTAGCTTTTTCCTTTAACATGAATGGCTCATACTTTTTGTTATTTTTTGAAATGGTCTCACGCTGTGGCCCAGGCTGGAGTGCAGAGGTGCAGTCATGGCTCACTGCAGCCTCAACCTGCTGGGCTCAAATGATCCCCCCACCTCACTCTCCTGAATAGCTGCAACTACAGGTCACCACATGCAGCTAATTTTTAAATTTTTTGTCCAGATGGGGTCTCATTTTGTTGCCCGACTGGTCTTGAACTTCTGGCCTCAAGATATCCTCCTGCCTCAGCCTCCCAAAGTGCTAGAATTGCAGGCACAAGCCACTCTGCCTAGCCTAATTGTACTGTTTAACTTGCTCTTTTCATTAAATAGCACGTCTCGGAAATGTTTCTTTGTAGGTCCAGTAAGTCTACCTTCCGGCTGCATAAATACTTCCTAAGGTGGATGTGCTGTGATTAATCTAATATTCCTCTAACTGTGGATGTTTAGGTTGCTTCTTGTGTTTCTCTTGCCCTTTTCACAGTCACAAATATGTACACACATGGACAAGTATTTCTTTAGGATATATTCCTAGTAGGAGTTTGCTGGATCATCAGGGGTGTGTGATAGAGACTGCCGGATCACCCTCCCAAAAGGCTTGAGCACTTTGCAGTCTGGCCAGAGAGCCTGTTTCCCACACCCCAGCGACAGCAGATATTAGGAATCTTTTAAATCTTAGTTATGCCTATAGATGAGGCATCAGAGTTCATGGTTGCTTGAGTTTAAGTCTCCTGAAATAGGGCCTTTGAAGCAACACATGTAAACTGAACGCATTCAAATAAAGTTTCCAGTAAACTTTAGGCATATGTAAATATTTGTCAAAGGACTTATTTAAAGCAGAGTATTCCGGGCACAGCGGCTCATGCCTGTAATCCCACTTATAACATTTTAAAGCCTTATCTGTTTTCTTAGCAATCACAAGTTTGGGAGTTGTTTTTAATCTACTCGTTCCAATTAGATTTTTCCCTAGAAACCTTTACCATAAACTAACGAAAAAGTCCCCCATGGCCGACAGACCTAAAGTAAAGCCTAGGCAGAGAAAAGAGTAGGGAGGAGGAGGGGAGGGAAGGCTGGTTCTGCCGTCCTCCTCTGCACCTGCCAGTGTCCTGGAGGAAACATGCCGAGAAGCACCTGCAGCCTGCTTTTCTGCCTTTCGTTTTTCCGTTCAATAAGGAGTTTTCAGGTGTTCCTGGAGCAGTGTCTACTTCTTAGGTCTCTGACCAAAGTCACGCTCAAGAAGCAGGCTGTGGAACTGCTGGTTAGCAAACGCTTTCAGTAAACTGACTTTCAAAGGGAAGGAAGTGGAACTTCTTTAATGTAGAAATCTCCACACACAGCCCTGTCTGTGTCTGATCTTCTGCCATGGCTCATTCTAAAACCCAGCTTGTCTTTCCAAGTAGCCTAGACAGAACAAGTTTTTACAAGTGCACATTGAAAGTACATTGAGAGAAAACCCAGAATGCGTATGCCCTTTCACGGAGAAAGTAAGGTCATTCTTAACAGAGCGATAATTCCCCACAATTTACTGGAAAAGTCTCTTGCTTCCTAAATTACTGTTTTATGTATACCATCTTGTCTCAGTGGTTCCATAGTTATTCGGAATTCTTGTTACCTTTTTTTTTTTTTTTTTTTAAGTGAAAGCAAGTTTATTAAGAAAGTAAAGGAATAAAAGAATGGCCACTCCGCAGGCACAGTGGCCGTTACCTTGTAAACCTCAGTTTGTAGCTATGAAAAGAAAGAAGAATGAACTGAACAGGTTGAGGAATGTGCTGAGGCTCACACAGTTCACGTGCATGCTAGAGTCCGTTTACACTTCGCTTTTGAATTGTTAGAAGAAAAAAAGCTAACCTAAATCTTAATTTCATTCAGTTTGTCATGTGGAAGCTTGTCATTGAGAATACTTAATGGACAAGTTTCCTGAACCAAACTGTGTAAATCAAATATGGTCTGACACAGGCCTGGAAGCCAGCAATTCTGAAATTGGAAGCCTGGGCTTAGAACTAAATCCTTACCTGGCCTGGGGCAAGTCATTTCACATCTTACCTCCCCTTTTTGCCATCTGTAAAGGATAAATACTTCTGTCTCAGGGATGTTGAAAGGATTAATTAGTTAGTCTATAAAGAACTTTGAAGATGAAAAGTACTTTAAAAGTGCTTCTTAATAACATTATTGCTTAGAAAAGAGTTTCACTTTTATGCTAACCACTTTATGTCTCAAATTATATAAAGAAGGTATGTTTAGTACATTACTACGAGTTGTAAACTAGAGATAAATTTCTCATGGTGTGAACATCAAACATTAGCTTCAGTATTTCAAAGGAGCATCAGTTTGTCTTATAGATCATTTAGGAGCTGTGTTCTCCTCAGTAATTAGTTACAAAGATCATATTTCAGGGAAAAGAAGACCCTTTCAAACAGGTCAGCCTTTTTTTTTTTTCCCCCCCAGTCAAGTTTCTTAGCACTCACTTTAAAGGGCTGCATTGAATTTGGTCTGGGGCAGTGAGGGCAGGAGACAGAGTGTACTATTTTTGAGGAGGGAGCAGAGTAGCAGAGAACCATATTCTTTTGTCTTCCCTCTCATCTCTCTTAATCTTCTCAGGGGATAGGAATCTATTGCTTTAGCCATTTCTAGAAAAAATTAACTGTTTAAACTTACTAAAATATATATCATTAGGCTTAATTCAGTGTATTTCCCTCTAAACCGAGTTAACCAAAAGGGCCATTGTTCTAGTTTATAATAAAACATTATTATAACATGCAGTGAAGTTTCATATAACTGGTACAATATTCATATTCTTTATTGGAAAGCAGAGGAGGGGTTGTGTTCATTATACAGATGACAGTGAAATATGCAGGGTACAGCAGACTATAACAGAGACATAGATAAATAAAGAGAGCCTGGAAGAATTTGGAACACGTGATCAAGAAATGAAATGAGATTTAAATTGGAATAAAGTGTGTCAGAAAGAGTAAGTCAAGTAAGAAACTGAAAGGAAAGATACCTGGAGAGAGAGCAGTGGACAGAGCTGAATCCGATAGAATTTACCCAAAGTGTAATTGCTTTTGTTTTCTCTCAGCGTAATCAGACAGATTCATGTTTCAAGCTGTTCATGCTGTGGGATGATGGCTTGCAGGCTGCTGAGCTAAGACTGAGTGAAGGAGAAACCAGAATTATCATGGCTCTTCTCTGTGGCTTGACCTGGAGGACTTAATTTGTGTTTGTTCCTTTGTCAAAGGTGGATGAGTGGCTAAAATACTCACATACCTAATTTGCGCATTGTTTAAATATATCATTAGATCATAAATGCCACTGACCATTATAATCAATTAGGTGCTTCAAAAGTAGATTGCTCTTTGCATTTGGTCTTCAGAAATATGATTTATTTTAGTAAGGTAAGTAGCAGCCATTGAAGTGTTTGGTACTGCCACTTAAAATATTAAATTAGTGGATGGGTTTTTGCCAGCCATTGTTTTCCAGTCTATCTCTTGAATATGAATGATGACTCTTTGAGTGCACCTAATTCTTTCAGTTTATTGTGCTAAATGAAGGATATTTTCTGTTTACCACATGTGTAAACATTTTCTTTTGTGATCAATTCTAATCAAAACTTGTTTCAGATGATATTAAAACATAATTCTGACTAATTTGGTGTTCTTTTAAATTCCCCTTAGCAAAACCCTTGAGGATCGTTTGAAGATTGAAGCAAAAAATGGGACGTTGAGTGTATCCGACACCACTGTTGGCAGCAAACAGTTGACATTCACGTTAAAGAGAGTGAGTTGTCTTTTATTGTTATTTTTAAATTCACAATAGGCTTTCAATAGTGTTTTCTGTGTGTGTCCCCAGAGCAGCCCTCTCATGCTTTTCCCCTATTGAGGAAGCTCTGTTCCCTGTTCTAGTATGTTCCCTGCAACCAGAGGCCCTGGCAGGCCAAATGTCTGACTGCAGCAAAGCGCGGAGTGTCACTGGTGTCCCAAAGGAGGCAGGACTTAGTAGCCCTGGAGTTAGCTCTATTGGAGATTAATCAGCTGTCTTGGTTTCTGGATTGCTATGTGGCTTGAGGCTCGGCTTTGTAAAAGCAAAAGCCCCATCCTGACCATTTAAGGATGTAGGGCTACCTCGTGTGTTGTGGACTTTGAAGAAGACGAGGAATTGGCGAGTTCTGATGCCCCATGATGGTTGTGCCCAACTTGCCCAGATCCTGTCGTTTTAGAAGACAGACCACTCTGCCAGTGCTCATCTTATTCTCAGCTGATTTCTAAGACCCATTTTTTTAACCAGTGGTAATAATGCCCGTCACACATTGTAGGAGGAATAAGCTGCTTAAGTATTTACTGTTAACTGGATACAGTTTATTTCTCAAATCTTTTTCTCATTCATACTCAGTCCTCTTTAATATAGTCACCAAATAGAAAAGAATGACAAAGATTTCATCCCTTTTTTTTTTCCTGTACAGTAGTAGGGAGATTCTTTTTTAAAATTGAGATGTAATTCACAGACCATATGCATTCTTTTAAAGTGTACAGTTCAGTGGTTCTCAGTGTATTCACTGAGTTGGGCAACCATCACGCTAACCAATTCTAGAACGTTTTCATCACCCCAGAAAGAAGCCCTATACTCTTTAGCATTTCCTCCCATGTTTTCATCCCCCAGCCCCTGGCCACTACTAATCTATGTCCTATCTCTATAGCTTTGCGCTTTCTGGACATTTCATACAAATGGAATCATTCAATATGAAGTCTTCTGTAACTGGCTTCTTTCACGGAGCATAATGTTTTCAAGGTTTATTCATCCAGTGGTGTAGCTGGAATCAGAATTGCATTTCTTTTTATGGCTGATGAATATATCATTGTATGTATATACCACATTTTGCTATTCATTCATGTTTTAAGGGACACTTGGGTTGTGTTTTGTGTTCTTTTGGGGGAAGCTATTAATAATCGGCTGTGAAAATTAATGTGTAAATGTTTGCATGAACATGGGTTTTTATGTATCTTGGGTCTATACCTAGGAGTGGAATTGCTGGGTCACATGGTGTAGCTATTTAACTTTCTGAGGAATCTATTAGGCTGTTTCCCAAAGCGGCTGCACCATTTCACATTCTCACCAGCAGTGTGTAAGGGTTGCAGGTTTTCCGCATCCACACCTACACCTGTTGCTGTCTGTCGTCTTTATTACAGCCACGCTAGTGGGCAGTGAGTGGTGCTGTTTGGTTTGCAGTTCCCTGATGACTAGTGATGTTGAGCATCTTATCACCTGCTCATTGGCCATTTGTGTATCAGCTCTGGAGAAACACCTTATGACATCCTGTACCCATTCATCTCTGATTTCCCTCAAATTCTCCCAGCCTGCATCCAGGAGGCTTGCCAAGTGATAAAAACACTTCATTATTCTAAGTGCAAAAAGCTTTTCAGTTAATTCTGCCTGCTGAGAGCAAATTTACCCTCTTACATGTATCACTTGTGTAAGCCAAATACCCATTGAGAGGGACCCCACAGTGCCTGTTCCTAATTTCGTATCAGTTTTCTTTATACCCAGAAGCATTCCTTGATTCCCTCTGAAATTCAGGTGATGTCAAGTGGGTGGGAGCAGCGCAGCCTACAAGGACCCCAGATCTGCCGTGCAGCCACTCTGCTGCTGCAGACGCCCAGCTGCTGCAGACGCCCCTCCGTGGGGTCCATGGGCACCTACTTTGTAGTAACATGAAAATACAAGCCTTTCCCCACTGTTTTCTAAATTGGAAGGTACTGAGTTGAAGATCGGTCTAAAATTTGTGGTAACTTGAAAATAAGATGGCTCTGAAATTATGTTTTTGTTTATAAAAATATTAACAATTGCTTAAAATGGCTTCATAACTGAATCAAGCAGAGGCTCTGAAACCGTTTTGAGGAATGTGTCAATGTTTGATATATGTGTTTCCTCACTTGACTAACAACATTTTAGTTATTAATCTCAGTTTTACTTAAGTTTCCAGTAAATTGTACGTATTCAGGCAGTTGTTCATACAGTTCTCTTTTTATACTGCAAGTTTGATATGCTCAGGTAGAATCTTGAGTTTTTCCCGTGGTTGTGTATTTACCTTCTAAAACGTCAGTAAAATTCAAGAGGAAAAATCTGTGCTTTAATGTTGTCTTAAATTGTATAGTGGCAAAACTGGGATTCAGTCCCAAATCTAATTTTTTTGGTTTTGGTCAGCAAGTCAGTAACTAGCACCCAAATCTAATTTTTAGATGCTATTTAGTACAGTTTCTCTTCAAGGCTGAGGCTATTGCTGATACAGGTGTGCCTGTTTCCACCTGTCCTTCTCCTCCCTCTGTGATAGGCGTGCTGGAGGCTGTGGGGAAGTAGGAAGAGGAGGCAGGAGACCTGGGACAAGCACTCACGCGCCCATGGATCCTCCTGGATCCATCACATGGCAGCAGGGTCTTCCGCATGCAGCCTTGGGACAGAGGCTAGTCATAGTCCTTTTTCTGCAGGAACAATAGCCACTGCTTACAAGCTCCTCTCGGAGCTCCTACCTTGGTGGAGAAAGTCTGGCAGAGCTTCTCAAAATGTGTTCCAGGAGATGTAAATAGCAATTCTGGAAGGTGACTTTTGCCATCAGACAGATAAGGGAAAACCTTGGAATTGGTGTCCATGATGAAGACTCATGAGGTGCCTTAACTTAGAAGCTCCACACACCTTGTTCATCTGTATTTAGCACATCATTTTCCAAAATCATGTGAAGAAACCCTTTTTAAATAAATCCTGATTAATATGAAGAAGTGAAATATTGGTTTTTTGTTTGTTTTTACTAGCTTGCTTTTGAGAAGAAGTGAAACGTTAAATAACTGGTGTTGGTTCACTTGGCAGGGCTCCTGATGATGTCATCACTTGCTCAGCTGGGGAGTGTTAGAAGGAGTTCTGAGTTTTTCATTAATACACGTGTATTGATGTCTGCCTGGTGCTGCATGCTGGGGACAGACATGGCTCTTGCCACCACAGTTCCCAGTCTATTAGGAGAGAGAGAGAGCGGGTAAAAATTATGTACCTCTAATTAGATCATTAGAACTGTGGCAGGTGCTTCAAAGGAGAGCAGAGGGCTGTGAGAATGTCTGGCAAGGCGCCCAGCTTTGCAGTGTGAGCAAGCACAGGACTGAACTGACATAGTATTTCTATTTTTTAAAAATCCTTCTGGCTGTTGCATGGAGAGTTGCCTCAAAGGGTATTTGAGAGGAAGCAGAGACCACAAGGAAGGCAGCTCCGTGGCGGCCGTGGTTAGGAAGGACAGCAGCTTGGGCTCACGCGGGAGCCTCCGGACAGACCACAGGGGAGGAGTTTGGGACACACTTCGGAAGAATACACAGGCCAGGATTTACTTTGAAAAGACAGTTGAAGAATGGCAATAGTCAGAGAAGGGACTTAAAGAATTATTCAGAAACCCAGTTTAAGAGCTTCCTAGAATCAGAAAAAAATATTTTCTTTTTTTTTGACATTACAAATCCTTTCCTTCCCCACTATTCTCTCACTTCCAACTTGTTAATTTAAGAAGATTGGGTAATATCCACAAGAGGTGAATGTGGAGTCTTTCTCCTCAAGGATGACATACAGGTGCATGTGTTTAGATATATAGAAAATGCAGATCCCCATGAAGCAGGTTCCCTCGGTGTCCATAGAAGTGCTTTTCCGCTTTGTCAACTGAGGCCCCTGACAGTGCTTTCTCAGTTTACCATCTGTGCAGTTCCACCGCTAAGAATGTTGTTTCTGACCTTTACATTCAGAAGTTTGTATTTTCAAAACCATCAGGTGTGTTTTTAAAACCGTATAACTCTTACCTTTATTGTGGATTCTGCCTTGATACTCTTCTAAGAATTTCTGCTGAAAGGAGTTAAACTATTTGGCGCCAGGGATGGGTTAGGGAGGAGCTCTAGCTCCCGTGTGAGAACAAGCGTCGAGGACACACATGAGCACCTTTCCAGCAGGCAGCCCAGAGTCCACGTGCTGACTGCGGCTGCGAACTTGTGCATCGTCTGCTGAGTTTTTTTCAGTGATTCATGAGAGCAGTTTGCTGCTTTTAAGGAGAGATGGAGTTTTGGGAAACAGCTAAAAATTCTTTGGAACAAGTTCTAGTGAATGAATGCTTGAGTGTGGATAATAATGTACTTTTAGTACATTTAAGTATTTTTTCTTTTGTTTTTAATAACAGTGAGAATAAACTAATAGCTCTAGTTTGTAAACAAAGACCCCTAAAAGGAAAGTGGACACTGTAAGCAATATCATCTTCTTAAGGTGGCTCTTCTGTAGGCCCTTTTAAAACATCCCAGTGGTCTTGTGAGTGTGTTGGTTGAAAAACCAGTCTCCTGCTTTGTAGCCAGACTGGTCTATCAGGGCCTTTCTCTTGTCTAGGGTTCAGAATTTCTGCTTTTGCATTGATGGGGAAAGTTGGCCCTGGTCCTGCTGTTTCTGCCAGGGCAGCATTTGCCAGAGCAGAGTCCCGGCGGCCCCACCATGTGCCCTGGAGCCCGTGGGCAGGTTTCTCCCGAGAGCAGGTCTGAGAGCAGGTGGTAGTACTGTTGGCATCCTGATGGTTACCAGAAAAGAGGTACAGGGTTTCCTCTCTTTCCTTCAACTCATTTAATTTTCTCTTTTAGTCTGAACAGCAGAAGAAGCAACAGGAGGCTGAGAAACTGCATCAACAAGAAAGGAAAAGACTCCGTCGTTCAGCCGGACACCTGAAGTCAAGACACAGAAGAGGACGGTCATTTCACTGATTTTGGAAGTGATCCTGCCTGTGATTAGAGAGGGGTACAGCTTCCCCAAACTGATCATCGTTAAACACAGACAAGGGAACACACATTTTTAAAGTTCCATTAAAGTTCCTTACCTTTGTAAGGAAATTCTCATACACAGAAGTAAAGATTGAAAATCTGTGCCTTGTGGATTAGACTTTGAAGCTGGGCCTCGCCGACTGGCCGCTGCGTAGCCTCAAGGGTGCGCGTGTAAGTCATTGCTCTCTATGAACGTTGTCATTTTCCCCATCGTTTTAATCATGTAAACCAGGGTTTTGTTTTTTTAATGTGAAATGTACACCATGAAATGAAAGGTTTATCCTGTGCTAAAAACCAAGATTGATGATGCTCTAGGAACTTTTTTTTCTTACACTGCCTACTGCCATTCATGATTAAACCACTCAGAAATACCGTCCCTGTTTTACCTGGTGTCTCTGTATTCCCTGTGTTTGTGTTTATAACTGTATGTTGATAGGTTTGTCTGGCTTGTTTATTAGTTTGGGATTTGTTTTTAAATAATTTATACCAAGAGAGTATCATCTAATGGTACAGGTTAAGAGCATCCCAAAGCCAAAAATCTAAAACTGTTTGAGTACTGTATTTGTCTGTTCTTGCACGGCTATAAAGAACTGCCTGAAGCTGGGTAATTTATTAGTAAAGAAAAGAGATGTAATTGACTCACAGTTCTGCAGGCTGTACAGGAGGCAGGGCTGTGGAGGCCCCAGGAGCTTACTGTCATGGTGGAAGGTGAGGCGGAAGCAGGCATATCCTACGTGGCTAGAGCCGGAGGAAGAGGGCAAAGGAGGAAGTACCCCACCTTTCAAACAGAGGATCCCATGAGAACTCACTGTCACAGAACAGCAAGGGGGAGTCCGTCCCCATGATCCCCTCATCTCCCACCAGGCCCCTCCTCCAGCACCAAAGATGACAATTTGACATGAGATTTGTGTGGAGACACAGAGCCAGACCATCTCAAGCACTGACTGACATTGGAGGAAAATGCTCATTAGAGCATTTCAGGTTTTGGATTTTCAGATATGGGATGCTCGACCAATAAATATAATACAGATATTCCAAAACACACAAAAAAATCCAAAGTCTGAAAGACTTCTGGTCCCAAGCATTTCAGATAAGGGATACCCAGCCTGTAATAATGGGAAACACGCGATGGAGGCTGCTGGTTAATTTTGGAACAAGTTTAATTATAGGGTTGTTGTTTTTTTCCTGTTCCTTAAGTATAGTCAGACATAAACTTACTGGAGGAAACATTTATAAAAATAAATACTTTCATTTGAATAGCTTCTTTGACAAAGACTCCAAGAAAATTTTCTTTTAATTAGACAAACGGTGGTGTGCACTGGTAGTCCCAGCTCCTGGGGAGGCTGAGGTAGCTGAGCCTGAGAAGTTGAGGCTGCAGTGAGCTGTGATCATACCACCACACCCCAGCCTGGGCGACAGAGCAAGACCCTGGTCTCAAAAAGAAAAAAGAGAACCAACTTTGGTTTCCTTAATTTTTCCGGCATTGATATGATTTTGGAGGTACCTTTGTAGATTTTTTTTTTCTTTTTGGGACGAAGTCTGTGTCGCCCAGACTGGAGTGCAGTGGCGAGATTCTCGGCTCACTGTAACCTCCGCCTCCCCGGTTCAAGTGATTCTCCTGCCTCAGCTTCCTGAGTAGCTGGGATTACAGACACGTGCCACCACGCCCAGGTAACTTTTTAAAATTTTAGTAGAAACGGAGTTTCACTGTGTTCGCCAGGATGGCCTGGATCTCCTGACCCCGTAATCTGCCTGCCTCAGCCTCCCAAAGTGCTGGGATTACAGGCGTGAGCCACCGTGCCCGGCCCCACCTTTGTAGATTTTAAGGTTCTTTATGTACAACTGAAATAGTAACTCTTTAAACTGTAAATGGTACAGCCTAACTTCAAATGTCATAAGCCAAGAGGCAGTTGCGTTAATTTGCATAACCATGCTTGGGATGTGGAACCGGCCGCAGGAACACCTAGATCCAGGCCCCCACATTTAGTCAGCTGGCTCGTGCTTCTGTCTCTCCTTCCCCCACTGCCCACACTCCTCTTCCTATCTTGTTGCTCCTTCTCTCTTCAGGTCTCCCCTGCTCTTTTCCCGATGTGTTTCCCTTCCCCTGCCTCTGCTGTCTGTGCTGCTTCTGCTTTTCTGCAGATTGGCTTGTTCCCCAAGGCAGGGAGCAGCTTGGCCATGTGTCCACTTCTGTGGTCCAAGACATGAGCTCTGTTTCCAGAAAAAAGGTGTGTGGAGGGGGGGAATGTCTGCATGTTCTTGTTCCTGTTCCCCAAGGCAGGGAGCAGTTTGGCCATGTGTCCACTTCTGTGGTCCAAGACATGAGCTCTGTTTCCAGAAAAAAGGTGTGTGGAGGGGGGGAATGTCTGCATGTTCTTGTTCCCGGTGCAGCCAGCCCCATTTGTGCTGCGGTACCAAGGAGTTCTCCGGCTGTTCCAGCCCCTGGACCGGCACGGCCCTTCCTCAGCTTCTTCCCTCCGAAACCCTCCATCAGTGCCCACCTTTTCCCAAAGGAAGGGACTTTGGCTTCCCATTGCCTTATCTTCTCTGTTCCCACGCTGCTTCCTTCAGGGATGGGACGCTTTAGAAGTTTAGAGAGGGACATTTTGCTGGCTAGAATGTCCCCAGGGGTTGGGTGCTTTTGTCCTTGGCCTGCTTCCTGAGGTTGGGCTCTGTCATGTTTACTCCTGGCTTTTCCAGGCCCCTCTTTTCCATCCTTCTTGGAGGGCCTCCTGGTTCTGTGGGGAGCCGGTACTCTGCAGGACCAGATTCCACAGGCGGTGGTGCTCCATTCACCCAGCGCTCTCAGCACAGCGGGAGGTCAGGCCATCAGAGTGGCGGAGGAGAGCCGGGATCACGCCCGGGAGGCTGGCAGTGTAGTAGAGAGAGCTCAGGCTTGGAACCACCCTGGCGCAGGGTTGAATCCTGGGTCTGTTGCCTATTTCTGTCTTTTGACTGTTCCCTTAATCTCTTTGAATCTAATTTCCTCCTGTAGATCAGTCTAATACTTAGTTTTTATTAGGGTAAAATGAGGCACTTACCTGAGGTACAGCATCTGGCACTGTGCAAAGCTCATGAGGACTTGACAAAGCTCCTTTAATATTGAGGGTTTCAAGAGCAGGGGAGGTGCCCTCCACTTTTGTGCTGGAGAGATGCTGAAGGGCAGGCAGAGGGACGTAGAGGAGAATCCGCTGACTGCAGCTTTGTGAGCACTCCTCCCAGGCCCCGCCTGCCTGTCTCATTGCCCTGGGTTTCCCACCGATTCAGCCCTTACCACAGGCCTGCCTCTTCAGGGCTGATTGCTCTAATCATACGGGCCTTCAAAGTTTCCTATTGTCAAGTTTTTTGTTTTTGTTTTTGTTTTTGAGACAGCCTCGCTCTGTTGCCAGGTGCCAGGCTGGAGTGCAGGGGCGCGATCTCGGCTCACGGCAACCTCCCCCTCCCAGGTTCAAGCAATTCTCCTGCCTCAGCCTCCCGAGTAGCTGGGACTACGGCGTGCGCCACCACACCCAGCTAAGTTTTGTATTTTTAGTAGTGACAGAGTTTCACCATGTTGGCCAAGATGGTCTCCATCTCTTGACCTTGTCATCCACCTACCTCACCTCAGCCTCCCAAAGTGCTGGATTACAGGCGTGAGCCACCGCGCCCAGCCCCTCGTTTTCAAGTTTTATGCACATTTTATACTGTACTCCATAATTTTTCCGTGTGTGTGATACGCTGTTCACTAGCCCTAGGAAATGGCCATTTCCCCTGGGTCTGTCTCAGGCACGCGCACCTGGGGGTGTTCATGCGCCAGTGCGAGAAGCGTTTCCTCACAGACGGGGCTCTGAGGACATGGCTTTTACATCAGGACCACGCTGAGAGGTCCCAGGCTGCCATTTCTCCCCTTCCCTGCTGCAGATCCCCTCAGGCCCCGACACCTGGATCTAAGGCCCAAGTTGGTTTTTTCCAAGTTGTGCTTGGCAGTTAGGGGAGCGGTGGCTTTGGAGAGAGGAGAATGTGGCTGGGAGGGATGCGATGGGGGATCCTGGTTGGTCCTGTTCCCTCACCCGGCGGTGGCTTTTCCCATGGGCACACTTTGACCACTCCTGGGCTACTCACGACTCACGGGTCTTTCTCTGTGCTTGTTATCCTTGAATAGAAAGTTCCATTGGAGAAGAATTGCTTTATCAAAGGAACATGTTTCATGGTTCCTAACCATTTCCATAGATAACTCATAACAGTATAAGATTATGTTTTTTCAGAGATTTTTCTGCTCTGTGGACAATGGTAGACACATCTGTTTTAATAATGCAAATGGGATCACGCTATATATGCTATTCCTGAACTTGATGTTTTATAACTAACAATATGTGAGTGATATTTTCCCAAGTCTGCACATACTAATATATAGGGCGACCTACCTCACTCTTTTGTATAGAGTATTTTATTACATGGCTGATCCATAATTTAACTATCTGCCTATGTATGGTTCACCCTAAAAATCTAAAGAAATAACCTTTTAAAAATATTTTTTCAAAAACAAGTTACATTCAAGGGGACACGTGCTTGTTTGTGAGATAGGCATATTGCACACTGGTGGGGAGGTGTTGTTGTTTGTTTGTTTGTTTCTGTTTTTTGAAACAGAGTCTCACTCTGTCGCCCAGGCTGGAGTGCAGTGGCACAATCTCCGCCTTCCTGAGGCTGGCTCACTGCAACCTCCGCCTCCCAGGTTCAAGGGATTCTCCTGCCTCAGCCTCCTGAGTAGCTGGACTACAGGTACCCACCACCACAATCGGCGAATTTTTGTATTTTTAGTAGAGAGGAGGTTTCGCCCTGTTGGCCAGACTGGTCTCCAACTCTTGACATCTGGTGACCCGCCTGCCTCGGCCTCCCAAATTGCTGGGATTACAGGCATGAGCCACCACGCCCGGCGAGTTTTAGCTGCTTTTGTAGCCATCATTTGTCAGAAAAGCAGAAACAAATACTATATAACAAATTTTGTTATTTTTGTTACGGCCTGTCCAGTGCTCTCCCCTCCGCCCGCTTGTCCTCCGAATTCTGGCCTCCCTGTTGTTTCTAGAACACTCCAGGCGTTGTCTTAAGCCAAGGCCTTTGCAGCTGTGATTCTCCCTGCATAGAATGCTTTTCGCCAGCTGTCTCCTGCCACCCTCTCACCCACCCCGACAGGTCATGATCCCCTATTTAGATCGCCACACCCCAGCTCCTGAGCTACTCATGAGATGATACGCAACGTGCTTTTCAAAAAGACTCATGGATGTCAAACATGTACCAAAGTAGAGAAGAGTTTAATGTGCTTCCATGCACCCAGCGCCACCCTCAGTAGTCGGCAGTAGCTAATCCTGTTTCCTCTTCACTCCTACCATTGTCCCATTA